AACCTTACAAGCTCACAGATACTGGACAGTATAGAGATAGGTTACAGAGTTCAGATAGGACAATGGTTACATCATGCCATTATAATTGGTCTAAGGAAAGGCTCTATGCAAGCTCTCTAGCACCTATGAGAAAGAAGAAGAATGGTGGGCAGTCATGCCCTAGGAAGCAGCTGTGACATCATCCAGGAGGGCTTGCCCTCTACTGTAGATTAAGCCAAAAGTTTAGCAACTTTGGGAATGGCACCCCCACATCACTTGAAATTTCAAGTCCACAACACAAGAGACTGCTAATTTGTATAATAAGCATTCACATACCAGGCTTGGAATATGTTTCATGCTTCAGTGGCAGTTTTTCTTGGCAAAACCAGATGCATCTATTTTTACACTTAAAATGTTAAGACTCAATTTAAGGGATAATTTTGAAGGAATTCCTCCTCCCATGATGGAAATATGTGGGTTTTTAGAAATTGTTTATCCACATATTTTAATACTGCTTTTTTTCAGTCCTGCATGTTTCAAAATGTATACTGTACAAACATGCTGGTATTTCATATTAAACAGAAATGTTTAGAATTATTTTTTAAATTTATTCTGTCAAGGGCTATTATAGAACATTCCTTGTTTAAATGTTCTATATTTATACACCTTAGAAAGCTGAATGTGCATGAGGGCCTTTTTCTGCTGCAAATACTTGTCTGCTGCCAAGGAACACTTATTTCAAACACCACACCATTTGAAATAAAGAAAACATAGATATGGCACAAATCCAGGCTGCCTGCAGGTCTCCAAGGCCACCCTCCCCTCACTACTGAAATGAAAAACATGAACATATATTTCTATTGAAGTTATTTAAAACTATTTTTGATGCCCATTCCTCCAAATTCTCCTTTACACTTTCAAGAAATAACTTCCAAAAGCAAACACTTTTAGCCTCTCTCACCCAGAAATGCCAATGGATGAGTCCCTAGAGAAAGGGAACAGTAATTTTTGGCTTATGTATCCATATCCTTTCTCCAAACCTGTCCTCAATCTGGAGCTGATTTCAGTGACTCAGGTAGCATAGTATTTTACCAGTTTCATCTAGTACACTAGCTGCCCCTTTTGTTGGGGTTTTTGCCGCCTCGTGCCAAATAGATTGCTATCTTTTCCCCATGGAAACATCTGGAGAGGCATAAGTACTTTGCTTCTAAATCTAATAATGCTTCTGGAAGGCTTTTAGGAGAGTAGCCTCAGGACATGGCTACCTTGTTGTCACACATTAAAAAAGGATCCAGTTTGCTACTACAAATTCGACAGCAGCAGCTAAGGACTGCCACTTGTAAGTTCAAGAAGGGTAAGTATATCTCATGGACCTATAGAAGTGGATTTCTGGCTGAGAGCCAAAGGTTATTTTTTCTGCACTACTTGCATGTGAAAGTGGTACTAGACAGTGCTGCCCAGCTTCATCTCTCTTATTTTACTTGGCCCTCAATATTTATAGACTTGTGATTCCTTAAAATGATACACATGATGTTTTAGTTTTGAACCCTAGTTTTCTGTTGTGGTATGAAGGCAATCATTGCTTCTGAGGATCATGGAATCACAGATTTGTAGATCTGAGGATATGAAAGGTCATCAACTCCAATCTCCTGTCAACGAAGGAAATTCATAATTAGAGCATTTCTGACAGATAGCATGCTTTTTTGCAATTTAAATCCATTAGTCTGGATCCTGAGGGGCGGAGCTTGACTGCAGTGAAGCCAGCAGCTCCCAGCAAACAGCTCCCGGGAAAATTTGGAACCGCCCAGCCTGTCGTCCCTCTATAATATCTGGACAAGGAGGGGGAGGATATACCCAGGGGAGGTTTTTGATGATGGGTGTGGTTTGTTGGTAAAATAGTGGAATCAAAAAAATATTATTTATACAAACCATATGTATTGGAAAGATGGAAATGACCCCCAAAAATGTTAAATATCAACGGTTGGGAATGTTGCCAGACAAACAATGGCTGATTACCATGCAAATGACAATAATAACAGGATTTCAGCAGGTAAATGAGCACCTTAACCAGGTAGAAGACCTGATGAAAGAGAAACTATCAGAGGTTAAACAACAACTGAATGAAACTGTAGTAACTCCAGAACAGTTTTTATTGAGAGCGATGCCAGGTAATATAGACGAGATTAAGAGTTACCATGTGAGTTACCCAGCTATAATAGTTAGAAAAGGTGATGTTAAAAATCAGACTACTGCCCTGGATTTAATTTTATCTCCCCAAAACTGGAAGAAAATAGAGGCACAGAAACGAGAGAAGGGTACTGAGAAAATATGGGAAGTGCCAGAAATGGATATCTTTCCAGACAGGCTGAATGAGTGTCTAAGGCAGAAGGAAAATGAAAGAGGGGGCGTATTTTATAATTGGTCTCGATTTCTTGATAGAGTTGGAATAACTTAGATTTAAATTAAAACATTAATATAAGCTGATATCTAGAGGGTAACCAAACAGTATACAGATATATATATATATATATAAGAATATAAAGTTGTTTTTGCATTGAAAAATGAATAGATCAGAGGCATGTATACCTAATATGAATAGAGTGGATGATTGTATATTCTGTGTTCTCCTATCCTCAAAACCCTTTTCCCATCCCTCACATTTCCTTTTACCTTTTGTATTCCCTACCCTATTCCTAGTAGTTTAAAAAATAAAAAATATTTTTTTAAAAAGTCTGGATCCTGTCCTTTGGAGTCCAGAACCACAGCAAACAAGAACGTTCTATTTTCCACATGACACCTGTTCAAAAACTGAACATGGCTAAACATACCCAAGTCCCTCACCTACATCTTACAGGATTCGATTTTCGAAGTAACCTTTTAGTTGTCCTCTTCTGGACACTTTCCAGTTTATTAATATCTTTACTGAACTGTGTTGTCCATATCTCAGAGTAATCCAGGTGAGGTCTTATCAGACCAGCCAGACTGTAGATATAGTCTCATGTTTTGCAGCTGAAATTCAGTTTGTTTTGGTTCAATAAAAACCACTCAATTCTGTTCCACCTAGAATGCTATAACTAAGGAAGTACCAGTGGACACTACTATGCTCCTGCTTGTTAGCAATAATGGATGTGTTTCAACCTTGTAACCTGAGGATTTGCACAGAATTTTTGGACAGCTGAAGGACCCCAATTGCACACTAGACACTTGTCCATCTTGGCTCACAAAAATCCCTTCACCAGGAGAAAGACTGCATAAAAATGCAATATATAAATATGCAAAAGCCTCCAAATACATGTAGATGCACGGGTAATGAGAGTAAACACATTTTTTTTTCAGGAATGCAGGATTCCAATTTCCTTTTTAAAAAGGCAGCATTAAGATAATTGTTTAAAAAGCTTTTTCAAACCCTCCATGCTGAATAATTACGTGACTGTTGTTACAAAAGTAAATGACACATAGTAACAAAGCCCATAGACACTCTGCTACCTTAACACAGTCCTTGATTGCATATGCTGCCATGCTAGTTTGCATGGCAAGTAGTTCTCTGCCATTTTCAATACTCAGATCATTTATTTATTATTATTTTATTTATTTGGTTTTTACCCCGCCTATCTGGACTATTCGTCCACTCTAGGCGGCTGTTCCATTTTTTAAAAAACATATTCTTCACCCTCTGTTTTACTCTCTGAATTTATACTTGGCTTTGAACTCAAACATATTATAATTGGACTGTTAACTTACTTTTAAAAAAATGTAGTGGTCCTTTTTTTACAGGACTCCTCACTTTTAATTCACATATTACTTGAATAGTTCAGAGGTTTTGGAGCCAGGGTGGATAAAAATAAATGATTTAAAAAAAATCAAATTGATTTAAATCATGATTTAAATTAAAAATCGATTGTTTAATTTAAATTGTCAAAAATTGATTTTTCTGATTTAAATATTTCAAAAAATCTGTTTATTTAAATCTAAATCACCTGCTTGACACCACAAGATTTGTCTGTCTGGCAAGTAGGATCTTCCCTAAATTGGGCCTAACTTTCTAGATTTCATAAACTGTAATGAACAGATCAACAGCATGGAAAGAGATGGATATTACTGTAAATGCTTGCAAATCACATCTGCATTCTAGGAGAAGCAAACAACCCTCATCTGTAAACTTTATGTAAGGAAGAGGACTTGGAAGAGGATAACAGAGGTAGATTTCTATAAGAAGCAGGAGCCAACAATTTAATTCACAAATCCCAGTCTTCATATGAAGAGGAAATACTAGTGGTTGGTGAAATCCAACAGCAGCAAAACTTATTTGCAACTCAGTTCTGGGTTTAGCAGGGGGCAAAATCACAATTTCATACACAAGCATGACCCCAACATGTTTATCTTTGTGTGTAGGCTAAATGTAGTCAAAGTGGGCAGAGATGAAAACAGTTAAATGTCTTAAATTTGTATGCTGCTCTAAATATTTATACTAGCCTTGCTTTGCAGAGGCTATAGGCTGACCTTGCAAATCATGCAGAGAGCAGAGACCTAGCACAACAAAGACCCTTGGCTGGTTGCTGGGCAACAGAAGCTGAGTGGGAAAGGTCACAGAAAAGAAAGGAAACTACTTGTATTCTGCTATTTTTCTACACCAACTGCCCCAAGAAATTACCATCCTCTTACAGCAACATGTAAAAAAACACATTTTTAACCTGACTTCTTATTATTTCCCTAATCTTCCCTGGCCAATTTCCATTTCCGATCTTTTATCTAGAATATTTAGCAAATATAATTTAAAAGAACTGAACTACACTTCTGCATAAGTAGTATTTAATATTATCAGCCTTGTCCTTCCATTATGTGAATATTTATGTAACTGTACCAGTGGTATAAGTAATCAATAAAAGACATCTGTTCACTTGGGTATATGATTCCCTTCCTTCATTAATTGTTCTTTTTTACAAGTGTGGATATATACTGTAGTGAGCTGGTACAGCTTTCAGGAGTATCATAATTATGTTATAACAGTCGTTGGGACATACCAGAACACCAATACTAATATTAAAAAGCAGGTTTCCTAGAATGGCAGCACTAAATTCAATTGTTAGTCTTAATCAGAGCTGCTCTGCTGAATGGGACTTGTTATGTCAACATGTAAATTCCACTGATTTAGTGGGCTTATGTGAAGAATCTGGCAATAGGAGAGTTAATCAATTCTCATTATTAAAGTGTGTGCTTGAGTTACAGAGAAAGGAGGAGAGAAAACTGCCTGTTAATCGAGATTGTTCACATCTGATTGGTATGTTATCTGTGTGATTCAAGGTCAAATCCATCTCTACCCATGGTACCATAATTGCAAGAACCTGTTTCAGCTGGACCCAGTGGAAGGTAGAAAAGTGGAGAAATAAATGTTACTTTTGAGAAAGTTACTCCATTTCAGAAAATTCTGCTGGGAATTTGATTGGTGGATAGCACTGAAAGATCCAAAAGGGGATAATGGGTATAAAAGTGGCTCAGACAATGGAGCACTTAAGCTGCTGCCAAGCTTTTGCTTATGTTGGTAAGCTTCACTATGTCTACTCTCTTAGGGGAATGTTATCCTTGACAATTTTCTGTACTCTCCATATGCTCTGGAGCTGTGCTGCAGCTTTAATGCACTGTACGTATTAGTATAAAATAGCTAGCTTTATTATTTTATGTGGGAATTATTCTGAAATTGCCCAGTCTCTGAATAGCTTTTGAATAGCTTTTGAAACCTAGTGACTTATTATGGACTTGCTTCACATCTTTATTGTTTTGGAAACCCTGAATGTACTTTTGAAGCTTTATATCTTTTTGCAACATCTTTAACAACATTGATTTTTCCAGCTGTGTTGTGAGGAGTGAGGAGTTGGTGGTACTAAATGACAGTGCCTTGCACTCTGAGTTTTTAATGTTTTGTGGGTGTTCTGACATTCCTACTAGGGTGTATAAAAGTCAGTGTTTTTTTAAAAAAATAAAATCAATTTAAATAATTTGAATTTCAAAAAAAATCAATTTTTAAAATCCAGTTTTAAAAAATTTAAATCACTGTTTAAATTGTCAGTTAAATCAATTTGATATAAATCAAATCCACTCTCATTCCTACCTTACAAGTTTGGTTTATAGATCTAATCAAGCAGCTTTCTGAATTTTTGTCACTAAAGAAGCAAGATAGGCTCATAAGTGTTGGAAGAGAGTCAGACAGGACGCTTTCCCCAATTAGCAGCACATTTACCTTCCTAGAAAGCATCTACAACAGGAAAGGCTAGAATAATGTGGCTGAGTGATCAGTGGATCCTCTCTGTCACAACCAGTTTCTTGGCAGCTTACTTCAATTAGGAATAACAACTGAATTTAGCATGGAGTTGAAAGCCATGGAGACAGACAACTTTAGCACCCCAAATTGGATGTCTACCTTTAGCAGAAGCTTGTAAGAGGTATAAAACAATGTGTTTGTTTCTTGGACAGCTTTACAATTTCCACTGCATAGTCATCACTATAGAATTTTAAGTATCTGAAACATGCCTATTGGTTGACTACTTGTTTTTAAAGAATAGGTCTTGAGTATTTAATTGCTTGCTCACATGTCAAAAACTCTCAAAACTCAATCCTTATACATTAGCAGTTTTCTTCACTCCAGGTATACCTGGCTATGGTCAAATCATATTCAAGGTCAAATTGCTCTTTCCCTTTTAAACTAAAATTTATTTATTATTTGTTTACTTAGTTGATTTATATACCACCCATCTGGCAGCCAAGGCCACTCAAAATATTGAAAAAGGAAAAAACAATTTTGATATCACTCTCAACTGTAAATGGTGCACACAAGTATACTCTCTTCAATGTGAAGGTATTTGCAATACACAAAGAAATAGGGGATTAACTGTACTGTAACTTATCAATGAACCATGTAAGTGACAGCTTTGTTTGGCATTTATATTTTGTTATTTTTTAAATACCATAATTCAAAGGAGCATGAATCACTCCTTACAAAAGCAAAGACTGTAGTCTTTCTCCATTGCATGTACATACTGTAATATATTGCACAGGAACATACTGCACAGTAGTAGTCATGCTATTGTTTAATATGCCACAAGACTATCATTACAAAATACAACTACATTTACAACATCAGACTTAAGACCACTGTAGTCAAAAGTCTTCCAGTTCTATACTTGTTACTACTGAAGTGGGTGAAGGCTGCTACAGCAAATATATAAAGACCCCCCAAAAAAGCACTGTTCAACTGTCTTAATTTTAAATTTAAAGGATAATAAATTAAACAGGTGCCTTGTTTTCCCTTAAGTGTGGAGGGGATGTATCTCGTTTACTATGACTTACTTAGAAGATCCAAATGACAAACTGCTCAGTTTTTAAAAGGCCCACAATTACCATCCTAAGAAATTCTTCATAAAACTGCAGATGTATATCAATATTATGATCCTTAAAATTTTACAAACCAAGAATACAAAAGTAGCTTTTATATTATAAATGCAAATTTAATTACAGAATGTCACATGATGAGTTAATCTGAATTGCAGCTTACCAGTATCCAGCCCCTGGACCTTTTTAATTATTTTACATTTCTATCTTCTACAGATCTTCACAACCTTGTGAAGTAGGCCAGGATGTGAAAGGAGAGTGCAAGTTCATTCTATGAATTCCATAGCTCAACAGGGGCCTGGGCTACGATTTTTCAAGTTCCAAATACTCTTAACCATCATTATTAATAATTTAAAGCCCTATCAGTGAAGCAGCAAGACAATCATGGAGCATACAGAGAGTATCTTCCTGTCATCACGGAAAGACCATGGTAGCTGTTGTAGAGCCATACTTCACAACTAAGAGGAAACCAGAACCTCTCACCTCAGATTCAAAATCAGAACCGGGACCCCTCATATGAGAAGAACCCCTCAGAGAACAAGTCCAGCCAACTCCAGCACATCTCCTCACTTTGTAACATTCTACATATGCCCAAGTAAGTATACCTTCTTACTTGGGACCCTTTCACACGTTAGGCAATTTCGTATGCCTTCACCAAGGAGCCAGCTGCCAAAGTGGCAGGAAGCTCCCGATGTTTCCCACCGACCCATTTCATTTTCTCAAGGGCACCCTCCAAACCCATTTTTAGGGACACCCCTACACACGTATCAAGAGAGACACACACAACCGTGGACACTGACCACCAGGCTTTCTTTTTCCTACGTCCCAAAAAGAGCTTTCTGAGGGAAAACCCAAAGGGAAAGAGGAAAGGTGGGGCACGAAAGCGCCCGACGCTTCTTCCAAGGGCAGGTCCACACAGGTAAAGTCATCAGGAAGCCCCAACGGGCCCGCCTCCGTCAGTCTGCTCCCCGCGCCGTTGCACAACTCCCCTCACACAGCCCCCCCCTCCAGGCAAACCGATCCGAGGGAGGGTGAAGCGGCGG